CTGGGGGCCTGGGGGCTCGTGGGCCTGGGGGCTCGTGGGCCTGTGGGCCTGTGGGCCTGGGGCCTGTGGGCCGGGGGCCTGTGGGCCTGGCGTGATGTGGCCTCTCCCCACAGGCCGCGTGGACCCTACCAGCAGCTGCAGCCGCTCCCTGGCCAGGTACGTCCCTCAGGGTTGGGCCTGGGGCTCACGGGTGGGCGGGGCGGGGCGGGGGGGTCCGTCAGGCTCACGGACGTCCACCCCCTTCACAGCCGGGCCGTCCAGCGCAGCCTGGCCATTGTCCGGCAGGCGAGGCAGCGGCGGCGGAAGCAGCAGCAGGAGTACTGCATGTACTACAACCGCTTCGGCAGGTGCAACCACGGCCAGCACTGTCCCTACATCCACGACCCCGACAAGGTGGCCGTGTGCACCAGGTGCCCTTCACCCTGCCGGGCCTCGGGGGCGGGGGGTGGGGGCTGCAGGGGGCCGCGCGGGCGTCCTGTCCCTGGCGCCTCCAACCCTCTTCCCTCCTTTGCACAGGTTTCTCCGGGGCACGTGCAAGAAGACAGATGGGACGTGCCCCTTCTCCCACCACGTGTCCAAGGAGAAGGTGAGCTCCCCCAGGCACCTGGCCTCCCTGCAGGCCCCGCCCCCCGGTTCTCCCCTGGCCGGGGGTGGGGGGGGGCGGGCTGGCTGTGTGACCACCCTGCCCCGTGCCCAGGGGCGGCGGGGTGAGGCAGGGCGCGCTGGAAGGGCAGCGGAGGACAGGTGGGCGCGCCACGGGGCCCCTGTCTCGCAGGCCCCTCCCCTCGGCCACTGTGGGCACGGGGGACCCCCTCGCATGGGCGCCCACCGCGGGGGCAGAGCCGGGGCGGCGCTGGGGCCCGGGCATCAGCATGCCGGGAGCCTGGAGGTGAGGGCTCGGGCGGGCTGGGCTGCCTGCCACCCACCCCCCACTCTGGGGCCGCGGCAAGGTTAGGGGAGGCGGGATCGGGCCAAGGCTGCTGCTACAACAGCTTTTCCCCTTGAGGAACTTGAAAAGAATCAGCATTTTTCTCCCTAATAGAGCTTCGAAACTCTGTTGTGAGCAATTTGGAAATTCACGTCGAGGTTCGGGTTCATTAGCTCCGGCTCCGAAGCTGGTGCACGTTCTGAGCTGTCTAATGTGGACGCCCGCACGCGCGCCCTGAGTTAATGTTATTGTTATTTGTGTGGACGTGGTGGGTGCAAACAAGGTTAATTGAAATGAGAATGCAGTTTCCTCTCCATAACGGCCGTGCTGACAGCTAGGAGGAGTTCCGTTTGGTGTAAGAGTTGGCTTTATTATCCCTTTTTATTAGAGCTAATTTGGGCTCTATATCAAAAGCCACATTAAGGGAATTGTTTGCAGCCGTACTCTGCTGCCAGCCCCAAACGGGCCAGCCCTTCTCCCCTGTGCGCTGCAGTTAAAAGACAGTTAAAAATAAACTCTTGCACGTTAAATCACCCTTTGTTTCTTTGCTTTCTCCCTCATTCCCGCCCTGGCCTCCCCTCTGCCCTGCCCTGGGAGCCCCTGCATGGGGCCCCTGGCAGGCCGGCCGGAGCTCAGTGTGGAGGTGTGAGGAGCTGAGCCCTGGGGTGCCCGCCAGTGTAGACCCACGCAGGGACCAGGGGCTGCAGTGGGGTGCGTGAAGGGTGGGTCTGACGGAGGAGAGAGCGGGAGAGGCCAGCTCCCAGAGAAGCTCCTGCAGGGGTAACAGGCCTGGGGAAGGTGGGAGGCCCCCAGGGTGCTGACCAAGGAGGGGTCCCAGAGAGGAGTCGCCTGGCAAAATGGCAACTGCAGAGGTCAGGGTGGGCAAGATCAGAGACCCCTCCTTGCTGGCCCTCAGGCCTCAGCTTCTTCCAACAGGGAGAAAGGGGGCTGCGTTTCTCTCTGTCTCCCAGTCTAGGGGCCAGGGACTGCTGTGCTGCATAGCCCTGCCCAGGCCGCCCGCTCCATGTCCCCCTTCTTCCCCCCCAGGTCTTCCCTGGGCCCACCTGCTGGCGGCCAGGGCACTGGAGCCGGGTGTCCACAGTGCCAGCCTGGGGTCAGTGCAGCCCTGGGCTGCTCCCTGCCTACCCATGGTCCATCCCTAGGCTTCCCTGGGTAGAATCATGTCACCAGCCCATGGACACTGCCCGGTGTCCAGGCAGCTGGGAAATCGGCTGAATTTCCGGGCCCTGTAGGCTATGCCCTACCTAGAGCCCCCATGCTCTGTCTCCCCCTTACCCCCCAGCCCCTGCTCCTCCAGACACCAACCCCTCCTGGCCTGTCCACTGTGGCCCTGCTGCTTGGAAACCGGGCAGTCTCAGAGCAGGTGACGGCACATGTGGAGGTCAGCCATCCTGCAGGGACGTCTTCACCTGGGCTGTTTGAGGGCACGTGTGTCCTGCCCAGACAACCTTGCCTTCTGGGGAAACTGGGGGTCTCCCTTTGGGGTGGGCAGCCCTCACCTGGCATGGCCCCAGGTGCTCATGGCTCCTGATGGCCCCCGTCCTGCTGTCCAGCACGGTGTGTCCGTTTCTCCCTTGGGGGGTCTCTGTGTGGCTCATGCCTGGCCTTGGAGCCCCAGGCAGGTCCTTCAAGTCCAGGTGTTTTGCCTGTAAAGTGGGGTGCAGGCTCCTGACGGAGGGCTGGAGGAGGCGGGGCCGTAGTAGCAGTGGGCAGACTGGGCCCACGCGCCAAAGGGAGCCAGGGGGTTCTGCTGGCCCTCACCCCTGTCCCCTCGCCTCCGCAGATGCCTGTGTGCTCCTATTTCCTGAAGGGGATTTGCAGCAACAGCAACTGTCCCTACAGCCATGTCTACGTGTCCCGGAAGGCAGAGGTCTGCACAGACTTTCTCAAAGGCTACTGCCCACTGGGCGCAAAGGTGAGGGGCGCGGTGGGCGGTGGGCAGCGGGCAGCACCCAGCCCCCAGCAGTGGGCCAGCCGTGCTGCTCAGGGCCTTCCTTGGAGCGCGCCTCACCCCAGGGTGACGAGGGTGAGCGTGAAGCAGGCCGGTGTGAAGGGGATTGGGGGACTGGGGCGTGAGGGCTGCCTGCGAGCTGGCAGCCCGGGATTGTCGCGGGCGCGTCATTGCCTCCTGTCGCCCTCGTCTGACAGCAAGAACGCTGCTGTGCTGGGGACTCCTGGCAGCTGAGCACACTGGTTCCTTCCCTTCCTCATTACCGTCCTGCTCGTCCCCACGTGGGCCTGCAGTCGACTGGGGAGACCGGAGCTGGGGCTCCCTGGGGACCCCCAGTGGGCAGGGCGGTGGGGCTGGGCCTGAGCAAGGGGAGCACGGTCAGTGCAGGGACAGCCCGAGGCCCCTGACAAACACCCCCCTCCCCCATTTCACACCGTGGGGCCCAGGCCCCTTCCTTCCCCATGTCCTCTCCCTCCAGGGGCTGGGCCCGGCCAGGCTTGGCAGACCTGGGGACCTGACCTGCAGCCAGCGGGTCGCCTTGAAGGTTGCCCAGAGCCCTGGCGGCGGCGGTGGGGGAGGTGGGGGAGAATGGCTGATTC